CTCCCATTCACTTTGCCAGCATACAAACACATTAGGAGCCTTCTGTTCACCACACACAACTCACCCTGCAGCGAAGGCACCGCGGAGCTGAGCGCGAGTTCATTCACACGAGCCACGTGCCCGCAGCACCCCACACGCAGGCTCAAAACAAGCCCAGACCCATGGGCTTAGGCAGCATAGTTCATGAAGGTAGTTTTGCCTGAAATCCTTTAATGGTTTCATTTGTTCTTAATCCCTGCTTCCCTCTTCCCTGCTTCCACTCCAAATCAGAAACACATTTCATTACTATGTTTAAATTGATTAAAAACAAAACAAAAAAAAACTTCAAAAACAGAGAAATCAGAATTAAGCCCTCTACATTGCTCCCTACCAAAAAAGTGTACAAAAAAGTATTGGGGAACATTTAATACCACTCAGTTAAATTTTCACCAACATGATAAATCATGAATTTCATCTTCACGCAGCCTTACCAACACAGGCCTTAACATGCTTTGAACATCTAAAATCTCATTTTAACTTCTGCAGGATTAGAAGGGATCCTGATCCTACAACTGTTACTCACATGAGTAATACCAGGTAAGACACTGGAGCTGCCTCAGGATTAACAAGGGATTGGTGCTGAATGTTCAGTTACTTTAACCTCAACATGTAGCACAGGGACAGRCAAGATCAGCGCCCTATTCAGGGGAATGTTTCTAACTGAGCAGTGAAAGGCAGGGAGATGCACATTTGGTGCTTGGACACTATGAGCTCTGCTGGTTTACGCACAGGATGGGCAAGGTGATCCTGGTGACCAACCAAGGTCACAAAAAGCATCTACTGGCAGGAGGTTGAAGAGCTGCTGCTACTGACAACCAGGCCAGGACTTACATGCAGCCCCACCAACGGCTTGGTGAGCAGTGCGAAAAGCAAGGGAAGAAAAAGGTGGAGAAACGGGAACACCATCTCCTCTAACACAGCAGCATCCATGGCAGGACTGGTCCACAGTGTATCCCAGTTTACTTTGCAAATCATGCAAGACTCACAGAATAACACAAATATTATTTACAGCCAGTAATATGTAGAGTGAAACATAGACTGCTGCTCTAAGTTTATTTATGGATCACGAAAGCAACGTAATATAGTTGGTTTGGAATTATATTTGAATAATGCATTGACACTGTCAAGCCCATGGTTTCACTGGAAAGAATGAGTCTAAACAACATGTATATGATCAAGGAACGCAAGCCCAGATTTCCTCAAGCYGTTTGATTAACTGTGACCAACATGTCTGCTAGACACAACCACAACAATGAAAATACAGAACAAGCCTACTGAACTTGCTTTCATTCTTTCAGTACAAAGACTACCCAACCCCAGCATTTCCTGGATTACTAGTCAATACAGTATCTTCCATTCTTATAAAAACTTACTTTTAATTTGCATATAGAAATGTAACAGGTTCTAAAAAAACTCCTTTCTGGCCATCTCCACAGTCATTCTTGAAGTCCTCCTTTAACCTTTTAAATTCCATCCTTCCTACCTCATTCCCCAAGGGCAAACCAGGACAGAGTATTTCTCCTCATGGAGGACACCACATTCATTTACTCTTCCAAGTTTGGCCTGCATTTTATTTTATGGTAGATTTGTTTCTGGCAAATCCAGAGGAAGGCTGGATATTGAAAGAACTGCACCAGCCTGTGTATAATAACTTGCACATCTAGTTGGAGACAGACTCATTGGCTTCCACCTTACCTAGCATATCTAAACACTCAAATTTGAAAGTGCAGATTTTCCTTATTTTAAGACTTTCTGGGTGGTTTTTCAAAATGCCAAAATTTACCACTTTCCTGACTGCATTTTTAATTTGTTTAGAAACACTCCGTTTTCTTTGCCAAGACAGGATCATTTAGAGCTAAATTTCTAATTCCTAAATCAGGGCTTTTTTATTAGTAAATTAGTAAGCATCATAAAACATAGAAGAAGCACAGTCAGCTAGAAAGCTAACCAGTGAAGCAAGCACTTTCTCTTCACAAAGAAGATCTTCTCTTTTCTAATTCCCTGCCTGCCCCCCAAGCGCTGTCTCCCCCGCCAGCCAAGGAGAGGTACTTCAAACGTTTCTTGCACAACCAAGTTCTCACTGCGGCCCTTGTTGGTGGTCCGTCATATGGAATGGTTTTAATACTTGGAAGCAATACCTTAAGTGTCAGAAAACAAGAACGTTTTATTTCTGCACGAAAGCTTTCCAGTACTACTAGCATGTTGGAAAAAAAATGCCTCATAGTAGATTAAGAGGTGGAAAGCCAAAAAAAAGAAAGAAAAAACACAACCCAGAAAGTAAACTACTCTTTATAGCAATGTTCAAGTCGTATCTCAAAGCAGAGGGAAGAGCTATTTAGGCATTTGCTAAAAACCTCATTCAGAATGATGGCAGAAGAGCAGCTTTTTCAGTCTTGAATTCCTAATGGCAAATGAAGTCTTTGACTACACATCAAAATCTATTTGGTACTAAGTTAGATTTAAATTACATTGACTCAGTAGAACTTTAGAAATGCAGTCTGCAGAGCACAGATGCTTGCCGAACAAGGCAGGAGCTATAACAAAATGCAGCACGTACACCTTGCCTTATGGAGCCCTCAGAAGTGTTTGCTTTGGCTTACTGGGTATTTTTTTCCYGAAAATACATGAGTAAATGCATCAAAATATTTTATCACCAACCAGAAACAAATTTCATCCAATCCATCCATTTCCATCCAGAAATCAGAGAAATACCTCAATAGATAAAGACRACAGTATCTAATCAGGCCCTGTAAAGTATCTTCTTCTATAATTGTAATAAATAAGGGAGGGAGAAGATATATTAGCTGAATTGAGACGCTATCCAGACAAAGATTTTCATAACCATGTAATTCCTCAGTACACACATAGCAACTCAGTATGTAAAGGGGGTTAGTGCAATTCTCTGCAAAAATGAGAGCTGAATTCTGCCAGATTAAACCAGTACAAAATGTACTATCTTACATGTACAGCATGAATCCATATGCAATTCTGTTGGGCTAGGACAGAGTACAGTGTGTTCCTGCTAACATTTATTTGTCTTCCATTTCTAATTGTAAGCTTGCCTTTTCAGATAGCAAATATTTTTGAATATTTAAGTAACAGCTAGTTCTATTTTACTGAGATTACTTACCAACAAAGGAATGAATGATCCTGATTAAACTGGCTCCCCACTTGAAAAATATCACACAGAACAGCCAAAGAAAACCCCTTTGAAACATTCCTGTGTTTGGACCATGTAAGGAAATTAATCCTGGATCACAACAATGATGCTAAATAAAAATTACACCCACTGTTCCACCAAACTGGAGGGTTTTGGGTGGTTTTTTTTTTTTTTTTCCTCTGGGACAATGAATGTTGCTAAAGGGAATGGACACACTGATATGGAAGGATCACTTTCCTTGCAAAGGTCTTGCCAAAAGATGTAGGTCATGACCAACTCTCTTCTCTCTCTCTGCCTCACTTCCCTCCATGTATATAATGAGCAGTATKATTTTCTCAACAGATTGGATTGACTGATCTCCTGTCTTGGAGATGAAACAAAACTCCTTGGTGGCAGGAAGGACAAGTACACAGAATTAAGTTTTATTTTGCTTTTAGTCAGCTATGCTATTCACATACTACAAATAATCTATTCGAAGTCTCATACTGTCCTCAGTTGCATACAATATATTGCTTTCTTCTCTAAATATTGCTCCATTCAATGGAAACTATTCTGATCAAAAGTGTGAAACCTTTATAAGCTTTTTCTGTGACTATCATTAAATGCTGCCTCAGTTGCARCTGCATTTTACAGATCTGCATGTTATTGCTTTCCCAGGTGCTTAGTCCAGAGGACATCTTACCTGAACACCTTTGCTATAGAAYAGTTAAGAGCCTATAGGGTAGCTAAAGTCTGAATTATCATTTGAACTGTATCCCAACAAATAACTTCTAGCTCATCATGTTGTCTAATCTCTCTTCTCCTCTCTTCTGTCTTCCCAAACAGATCCTCTGAGTCAGCTCTCTCCCCCTGCCTTTWCTTTCTTGTGAGCAGCTGATGAGCAAATTGTTTTTCCTCTTAGTAGCTACTACAAGCAGATAAAGTTGCCAGTCACTTTAGAGCTGCATCTTGTGACCRGAGGGCACGATTTGCTCCTCTCTCACTTCTACATGGATTGTTTCCTAACAATTTCCCTCCGCTTACCCTAAGAAATGCACTGTAAGTATCTATGAATGTAATTCAGACAGTTTTGATGTGGAGTTCAACTGACTTCTGGAACACATTGTGTTATGAGTAAATTTCCACAGCATGCAACATTTTTCCTAGTTTGCTTCAGATCCTTTGCCAAGATTAACAGCATTTCTTTCATGTTGCTTTCTTTACATTTATATCTATATTCCATGTTTAACATAATGCTTCTACGTTTCTGGAGAAAGCATTACAGATATTTAACGTTAAAATACATTATTTGTTGCTTTCTAAACACTCTGCTTCATCCATTATTGCACTTCATGTCTGTTTCTTTATAATTCACTCAGTCTCCCTTCTGAAGTATCCATGCATTAATGAAGTTTGCTAAACTTTCCACAAGATGGGAATTACCAGGATGTGACTTAATATAAATTTATATCCACAAAATAAAACTATCAGGATAACAGAAACAATTCACAGAAAGGATAACAACCTCAATTTAATTCTGCACAGTATTATCTATAAAGCTATTATTATATCATTAAAATATTGTTTCCTTCATCTCTATTACATCCTATTAAGATTTTCCATAGATGACTTTGGTCTATTATTTCTACAATTAAATGAATACTTTTTTTTTTTTTTTTATCATTCAGGTCACTACATTTTTGGTGCATCCTCAAAGGATAACAAGAAATTCATTTCTTATACTGTTTCATAAGACTTTCGTGCATCTCAGAGCCTCATAAATGTGATAATGCTCCATCGTGTTCATATGTGGCACACTGACCTGGTCATCGTAGCGGTACGTGAGGAATTGTTCCCCGGTTGTATCCTCAAGAAAACTCCCCTGCGGAGAAAGTGCAAACTCAGGCAAGAAGTAGGCACCTTGGGACTGCTCTGCTCTTGTCTGTAAAAGATTAAGAAAGATCAAATTGTAGCTACTACAAACACAAGTCAAAAACTTTGAAGACTCCATGCATATATTCATGACGATTAAAGTACATTTATGAACAAATAYGTGCTGTATTTTTAGGCAGAACATYTGGATACTTTTTTCYTCCYATACCTGTCTTGAAGATACACCAGATGCTCACAAAGGTTCAAAAAATAAGTGAGATGCATCAGTAGCAGAATAATCTATTAAACACAACAATGTTATTCCTTGGCCTATCAACAACCTCAGAAAGATAATCTGGGATACAAACTGAAAAAGTAGCATTAATCATACGCTTGCTTTATCCTTATGTAATTCATTAGTTACTGGTTACTGCTCACTGCAAATCATGAGTTGTGACTGAATGCAGCAGGGTTGCTTCTACAGGGAGACAAAAATTCACAGAATCAAAGAATGATCCAGGCTGGGAGATACTACTGTAGGTAGGAAGAAGTCACTGAAGGAAAGAACTCAGCAGAGCAGGGCTCTCWGAATATCAGGCAGCAGCCCCTGCTAGTTGAGCCATTCGCAGCTTAACGGAGTTTGAGAGTCAGGAGAGGAWGAATGGCCCATTTGGAGCTACAGAGGATCTAGGTCTGTCTCAGCYGGACTCAGTAGCTCCACCAGAGCTGTCAGACACCTGAGCTCTTGTGACATGAATGGATTCTACTAGAACRGTCCCAAAAGCAGGTGTGACCCCTCTATGGTGGATAAGCAGAGATTGAGCTCCATGCACATAACTTGATGAGTCGGCAGCGGAGGAGGGATGCGGCAGGCCCTTCCGCAGGGGCTCCCCTCGGGAGGTCCGAGCCCCGCGCGCAGCCCTGGCTGCGGAGGCCCCCGTAGCCGCGCTCGCTGCCTCGCGCGCTGCGGAGCTGTCAGCTCCCCTGCTGCCCCACCAGTGAGTGCGGGGACGAGCACTCAATTAACATACTCCTTTTACATCAAGCAATCTTCATATGAGCTAGACATTTCTTGAAAAGGACTTGTCCAGAGCAGGGTAAAAGGTCACATTTTAGCACACGAGACTGAACAGGACTTTAAAGAGGGCTTTTTGCACCAGACCTGGGTAAGCATAAYTCACATTCACATCACGTTATCAAGACATTTCCTATAAAGTCTATTATTCCCGTGGTCTCACTTGTGCACCGTAGTCTAACCCTTATTTACGCAGAACTAAAGCACGACACGTGAAGTATAAATCTACATTTGATAGCAAGTTTCCCCGCAGAGCAGCCAAGCGAGGGCCGGGGCTGCCGCCGCGCGAGCCCCGACACGTCAGCTCCGGCTCAGACACGAACTTGGCCGACACCACCTGGCACCTTTCCCCACTGGTTTCAATGGGCTATCGATAGATCCAAGGGCAGGGAATACAGCAATGATGTAATCCTATGATTTCAGCACAGGACTAACAGCGACGAGATACATGCGCTCCGTCTCCAGTGGCCTGGGCTGAAGCACTTAACGTTTCTACCTCAGTTTCCCCAGATGTAAAACCCAATTACAACATGGCTGCAGCAATATTAATCATGTATTGTAAAGTTTAGTTTATATTTGTAAAATACTTTGGAGAAAAGAATAGCGCTAAGTGCTGGCAATTTATAATGATATTTTGGAAAGAGCTGCTGAACTCAAGAACAGAAGAGTATCCAAATTATTCCACCGCACTTCGAAAACTGTATATATCACACTGCTTAATTCCCCATAAACAAATTTGCCAGAAGGATACGCAGTGATCAACTTACTTGTGTTTCTCATCTTCATAAGGTAAATATTTAAAATAGAAAGTTTTTGGACATTCATCAGTATTACACTTGGAATATATAAGATGCCAACATCTGAAGCTGAAATAACAGTTTAATAAACATGACAAGGAAAACTTGGGGTTTCTTTGTATACTCGCACACACTCAGTGTTAGTATCTAATGCTCATGAGCAGCCGACCACTGAAGAAAACTTGCTAGACCTCAAGCAGGAAAACTGTGGCTTCCAAGCTGAGAAAATTTCAATTTTCAGTGTTCAGGACAAATGCTTTATAAAGTAACAGAGATGATTACAATAAAAATTCACCTGCTCGCTGCCAGTAGGCACTGCTGCCTACACAGATAATGACAGTAAAGGAGAAATGCAGCAAAGCATTTCCTGGAAAAAAATCTAAGGATGCATCATGAGCTGTCACAGCAAGTCACACCAAGCAACTGGAGCTGATGAAAAATAARTAAAAAACAAATTCTCAGAGAATTAAGCTTTTGTAATAATAGAAAAAGCAGAAAATAAGAGCTCTTTTTCCCCCTCCCATCTAATTATCACAAGTGAGAGATGACTGAGACCCTCCCAGACAGAGTTTGCACTACCGAGCAGCAGAGCCCAATGGCACTGAGCCCGCAGATCAAACCCTTTGTGTTTTGAGGAGAGGGGCTTATTTTTAGCTAGCCCCACGGGACGCCCACCTACGGACAGCTGAAGCACATGGGGCACTGCTGGGGCACATCTTCTGGTTTAGTTTCACCCAGGAGGAATCCTTTTAGTGCACCCTAAAATTACCACCTAATCACTTTTTTCCTTAATGCCAGAATTTGTATTTATTATTGCCATCCAATTAACTCATAATCATCACATGAAAGGAATCCCTAAAAGGTAGAGTTTTCCTATGACTAATACATTGCAAGTATTCATCAGTCATTCTTTCCAAAGTAAAGATTAAGAATTTCATCCAAGGCTTTAAATTATTACAATTTGAAATAAATTTGTCAAAATGTAGTTTAGTCTACAACTCTTGGGGATCATTTGATACCCAAGGCTATTACAAAGTTACTGAATACCATAATAACATGCCACTATTCTTCATAACCAAAGCCAACAGGACAGTGGAAAGTAACAGTCCCATATCTATATACAAACAAACAACAGTAGCTTTAGAAGCTGAGGTTTGCGTTAAGCCYGAGTTGCAAGGCTCAGGAAGATGAGAAGAGGTAGATGTGATGTCTCTGAAATGACTTGAACATAATTAGGAATAAAGTTCTTGCACATAGAATAGAAAAGGAATAACTTTAAAGTAAGATTGGGGGTGCCAAGAAGACATCAAGAGAAAGTGAGCTATGCACTTGCACGCATTTTTTCCTTAATGTGAATCAGCATYATCTAGACTTTAATCAGTCATTCCCTAAGTCCGCATGCTTGCTAAAAATAGAGAGCATAAGCAAAACAAGACTAACTGTTCCWTGTAACAGTGCAAAATAGCAAACAGATAAGACAAAATGATCTATTTTAARTGCCGAAGGCTCATAAGCTCCTCTAACATTTGATTTGTGCCCTACAGAAGGAATATACCAGCTAAATAGCAGTTCAGTTTAATGCATTTTCAAAGACTAGTATAGAATAAAATAGAAAAAATAGGAGTGCATCACTGCAGGCTCATCAAAGCATGTGAAATAGGGAGTTACCAGATAAACAAAGTTACATTAGCAGTTCTGAACTTCAAATATTGCCAGAGCAATGTTGATGAATAAATATCTAATAAGACTCAGATTAGCTTTTGTCATGGCTAAGATTTACAAAAACAACTTGCTAACTCTAGATGCTCGAATCACTTAAAGACCCTGCAAGTGAACTGACTTTCCACAGAAGCTGCCAACAGCTCAGCATTTCTGGAAACCAAGCCAATTATTAAAAATATGAATTAATATTAAACCTAGAGGCCAACATTTCAAACTAAAATTAAAATATAAACATCTCTTTTTCCTGAAAAGAAAAAGCACTCAAAGGACACTTGCTAAGCAGCTGAATTGATGAAAGCCAAACAATTCTTAATAAAAGAACTCCCAAAAGTCACAAAATTTCTTCCAGGTTTTCAACAGGGATGTCAGAAGGGACACGACTGCAACCTTCAAGGCTGAACCAAAAGCTGCTCCAGGGGCAGCACCRCAGGGCGCGACTCCACGGTGAGGATGTTTTCACCTTAGTGCTTGCCCAGTGCTAGGTCTGAAGTTTGCCTTCTGATTTAAGCCCAAATCTGATTTTTTTTTTTTTTCTTTTTTAATCCATTATACTTCATTATAGACCTGTTCCTGCCATAAAGCAGCAAGACGGGCTTTGGAAAACATGCCTGGAGCTTGAAGGGCCATAGGAAGGTTAAGCAAGAGATAGTGCAGAGATATTTCATACCAACTACTTAAAAGATGCAAAGCGGCCACAGCCAGCAACTCAACCTGAGAGCTAAACTTGAAGCCCATCTATAGGAGAGGTAGCAACTGCTAATTAGAACTGATCCTAAGCTACTCCTCCAGCCATACCCACAACTGCAGGAGAGCAGCTGCCCAGGAAAGTGCCACTGAGCCCCACGGCCCCAGCTGCTCCTGAGAACGTGTCTGCAAGCACAGAGATAGAACTCAGCCTAAAACCCTTTTTCCATGCGATAGGTTTGCACAAACCAAAGCCAAAACTGAAATGAAGAAGGATAATGGAGATAATTTTGTTTTTAAATTAGGGGGCTATTTTTCAGCCTTCTTAGAAGGTTATTTCTACAAAAATGTCTGTTGATTAAACGTAAATACATTTTCTTTGGCATAACTTAGGCTGCAGACTGAGATCAACACATTTTGACCATTATTTTTTCTGTGCCCTCTAAAATTTATACTGGTGATTAAGCTTTTGGATATTTATCAACTACTACTTATGTTTTCTCTCACTATGGTTTGGCTAAGAGATTAAACTTTTCACTGAAAGGCTGCAGCAGCATTTAGCCAAAACCCAGCTTGAATATCAACTCTGCTTCATATTTCCATAAGAAATATGAACCCTAGAATTTTCCTTCCTTCAGTGAAGCTGCTTCTAAGCTCCGCCAGGCAGACTCTGCCTTCATCCTGAAGGACTGGCCTCGCGAGCCTCRCAGTTGATTTTCTAAGATCTGCACTAGTGCTCTGAAAGGGCTCCCCGTGATCCCAGGGGCAGAGCCCCCCTTTTTGCAGGGCCAG